CAGAAGCGCGCGCGCGCGGCTGCGGCGGCCGGCACCGGCGGTGCGCCTCCAGGGCGGCCGCGGCGGAGAGGCGCGGCCGGCTCAGGCCCTGCCGGCTGGCGATCTTGAAGGGGCCCCAGGACGCACCAATGAATACACACAGGAGTAGCAGGACTCCCCACATTTTCCCATGTTTTCTGGGTTCTTGTCCCCCCCCCCCTGCCCATAGTTTCCCATATCTTCCAGGGAATCGATGATTCATTATGTAGGCCAAAAAAACGGCAAAAATGGAAACGGCAGCAAAAACGGCTCCAGAATTGGAACCGGAGCGAGAACCCGTAAAAGAACGGCGACGGAACTGGTCAAAAAACGGCGTCGGAACCGGCAACAAAAACGGCCAAACGGAACCGGTAAAAAAACAAAAAACGGCCCTGTCGTTTCCAGGGCCCACGAAGAGACAGGGGACCGTGGCAACTCTCCCTGCGCTCATCCACCGCTTCGCGCTTCCCAGAGCGTGCATTACCTACCCCGCTTTCGCTTCCAGGCAAAACCCAGTCATGCCACGCGCCAACTCGGCAAGCGGCCTGACCAGCACAGGCCGCATTGTGGCATCGCTTGGCATCTCTTGGAAGCGAGGGTGGTCAAAAGCGAGGTAGGTTTGTTTGCCCCCTAGCTTCCCCTAGGTTTGTTTGCCCCGTAGCTTCCGTACCCCATTTCGTTCGTGTCGACTTTGGGACCCCCGCCGTCCTGCCAGCGGAGGGGGGACGAGAGGGCAGAAGCGAACCGCAGCGAAGGCGAGGGGAACGCCCCCTTGCCATCGAGGGCACCTCGGCGATGGCTGGGCGGTTAGGCCCCCGGTTGCAGAACCGCGCGCTCCTGGGCGGGACGTGCGCTCATCCCCCGCTTCGCGCTTCCCCGGGGCCTCCCAGGCCACAGAGCTCGGCCCTCTCGGGCGGCCACTCGGGACGCTCCCCGGCACCCCCTCGCACGCCCTTAGGCGGGGCGCAGCGGACGGACACCGCGCCGACCTGCGCCTCGAAGTGGTCTGCACTCTTCGGCGGCACGCAAGAGCGACCCTGGGCAAGAGTGACCACTGGCCATCGCTCGGACGTCCATTTCCTGTGTTTTTTCCGGTTTCGTGCGTGGCTTTTTCGCGAAATGATCAAGGATGCTCCTCGAGGGTCCTCGCCGAGGAAAAAACGCACACGTCTGAGCGATGCCAAGGACCTTTGGTGCGCGGCTCTTTGGGGGCCGCGGGGGGACCAAACCTGGGCGCGCAGCCAGCTGCTATACTGCTTCGTTTTCGGCCATCTGGGGGCCCCTCTGTGCCCGCACCAGAGGTCACTCCGGCGAAAGGTCACTCCTGCGTCTAGCCGAACACTTCCACCTTTGAAACCTGACCGCCTTTGGAGTCCCGAAACGGTGTGGTGACAGACCGTGCGGTGACCTCGGAACCCCAAGAGACCTCACCGCGCAGTCCGTCAACGCACGGTCTTGGGACCCCGGAGGCCCCTGTCGCCCGAGACGCCCTCGGAGAACGACCCGAGTCCCAAAACCGTGCGGTGACCCCGAATCCTCACCGACTCACCACGCGGTGTGCTCACCACACCGTTTGGGGGCCCCCGACCGCCGCTGCTCCCCAAACCTCTCCCGGGGTGCCTTCTGACAGGAACTCCGCGGGGAATCCACCCGTGGCGACGAGGGACTCTCCAGGGCGAGCAGCGGCATCGCTACCCTTGTGGATGCCACGACAATGGACACCCTAACAGTCCTATCATTGAATTTGAAATGTGTGGAACAGGTAGGGAAACATTTAAACCTGTTTTAAACATGCTCAAAATATGATTAAATCATGTTTAATCCATGCTGTAGACATCTGGCAAATATTTGGCAACATGCTTTCCTCTCCATCGATCGTCCTCCACGACGCTACCCCTTCCTCCTCTGACCGTCGCCGCCCTGGACACGTGCCCGGGCTCGGCATCGTCGACGTCGCCGATGCATCGTCGACGTCGGCGATGCATCGTCGACGTCGGCGATGCATCGGCGACAACGACGTGAATCAAATCAGGCCCCACATCTGCAATGCATCGGCGATGCATCGGCGATGCGGCGCGATCCTCCGACCCCATCTACTCGGACCCCATCTAGGAGGCCTAGACTACGGGACGGGAAAACGACCACAGCCACTGCTTTTCTTTTGTTGCCGCCTTCCAGCCAGCAGGAACAAAGCAGTGGTTGTGGTCATTTTCGTTCAGCTTGGCACCAGGGAAATGACCACAACCACTGCTTCTTTTTCGGCCGGCTGGAAGGCGGCGCAAACGAGAAGCAGTGGCTGTGGTCATTTCCCCGTCCCGCATAGACCCTTCCTCCTCACCCCGTCGCCGCCCTGGACAAGTGCCCGGGCTCCTTGCCGCGTATCTCGAGGCCCCCGACCTCGCCGTCGGGCAGCAGCACGGTGACGCAGCCCCAGTCCGTGTGCTCGGGGGACCGTACCACCTCGCCGCCGCAGGCCTCGGGGCAGCGGCTTCGCTCCAGGACTTGCCGTCGCTCGGACGTCCACTTCCCGCGCACTTTTCGGTCTCGTGCGTATTTGTCGGCGGTGGACAAACCTCCCTCTAGTAAACCTCCCTTTAGTGAAAATGGCCTGGGACCGAAACCGACGGACCTGGACGCGCAAACATGACGGCCGCGACGCCCTCTCGCGAACCGAAAACGGCCAATTCGCGAATCGACGTGAGAAAAGATGCAGACGTCCGAGCAATGACAGGAGGACTCCAGATCAGAGACGACCTCTCCTGCCCTGACGGCGTCTTTGACCGATGCCCCGAAGGAAGCTGCAAGGGGTCTGCCAAGACCCACGAAAGGACCCCAAGAGGGCCATGGCCGCGACAGCTCACAAAATGGTCCCGCGAGGGCTCCAAGATGGGTCTAAGAAGCTTCCAAGAGGCTCTTATATTGAAAGATCTAAAGAGGTCTTCATGGTTGACCACCGACTTCGTCGTCATCGTCGTCGTCGTCCTCCGCACCCTCCGCATCATCGTTAACGTAGTCGTCCAGCCTTCCTTGACTCTCCTCCTCCTCCTCCTCCTGCTGTTGCTCGTCCTCGTCGTCCTCCTTCCGTGCTGATCCTCCTCCCTCAACTCCGTCCTCCTCCACGTTCTCGACCCCTTCCCCCTTCCCCTCCTTCTCCAATGAGTCTCTCACTCTGCCCCTTTCTTCTTCTCCACTTTCCTCCTCGTTCTCGACGGCGGGCTCAGCAATGACACTCCTGGGTAAGATATGCGTGCTCAGGTTGATTCCGAGCCTGGGCTTGACGGCTGACTCGCTTGCTTGTTCCACTGGGTGCTCCGATCACTTCTGGATGAGCTGGTGGGAATGCGCGAAGCGTCCAGACTTCATTGGGGAGCGAATCGCCCAGCACTCTCGCGGTGTTGCTCACCAATCCTCGTTGGGAGCCCGGTGCTGTACTCCGCTCTGGCCAAAACGGATGACGAACGAGTGCCCTCGCACCCACACTGCTCGTGAGGTCAAGCCGCATTCAAACACGGCGACTGCGCATTATGAAACAAGACAAATGGCGCGCGAGCAGCACGACGCTCTGACAGAGATCGGCAACCAGGACGCACGGCCGAGGACGTGCTCTGAGCCTGGCGAGCTGTGTTGAAACAGCCAGCACCCCCCCGTCCAACGTATGCGACTAAGCGCTCTCTGGGGCAGCGCGGTGCCCTAAGCAGGCCAAATAACCCAGCACACCCTCTCCAAGGGCCAGGCTGTGCTCAAGCATGCCGAGCATTGACGAAAGAGCCAGCTGCCACCCGTCCAAACTGTACAAATAAAGACGTGCTCCAGGGTAGCGCGTGGCAGATCAAGTTGCTCTTTGCACCCTCTCCAAGGGCTAGAACACTGTTTGCTGGAATTCGGCGACCCCTTGGGGCTTCCTAGGACTGTGAGATAATCGCCCCTCCCCCCTATCTTTTCGGACATCTAGTCCCGCCAATTGGGAGGGGGCCCTTGGATGCGGCGGACGGACCCATTCGCCCTGGAACTGCTCCCAGACGCGTCGAAATCCCACCAAATGGATCCAAGTCGGCCAAAGAGATTCCGAGAAGGTCCAAGGGGGCCCCAAGGCAGCCCAAGAGGACCCCAGACCACGGCGCCACCAAGACGACCCAGACCCCCAAAGCCCCCACGAGGCGAACATATTTGATCTCCCACTTTCGCTTTTTCAAGCGCATGTTGTTACGTGCTCGCCTCTTCGATGTCCCGCGAGTCTACGACCGAGAAGCTCTCAAGATGGACCCCAAATGGCTCAAAACGCCAAGAGGGCAGTAAAGCGGCCAAAGATGGCTCCAAGACGGCCTAAGAGACTCAAACCCTCAACATGCCTTCAAGAAAGCCCCAAGAGGCTCCCAGAGACCCCCAAGAGGCAGGGCACACGAACGACCCCAACAGGGTTCCTTTTTTGAACGTGCTTCTGGATTGCCTGATGGACTCACGGCGCCAAGACGCTTCTACGACAACGCTCCCCCCTCTCCCCCCCAGAGGAGAGGCATCCAGGGCCGGCGGTGCGGCGTAGGCCAATGAGGAACAAAAACAATCCAAAGCACTGTTCAAGAGCTCTCCGCACCGTCGAGGGTCCGCCTCTCCAAGGCTTCCCCACAGTTGGCTTCTCCACCAGCACTGGTTAAAACTTAATCCAAAAAAGATCCACTTGGGGTCCACAAAGCACCGCTGGGATGGCCAAGGCGCCGTTCCCACGGAGCTCGAGTGCGAAGGGAGCGGGTGGGTCTTATGCCCGCCCTGCCCCCTCCACCGTCTTCCGGCCACGCGCAGGCGTGGCCCTGGGCAAAGAGTGGTCTTCGGTGCGCGGCCTCGTGGGCCCGCTGGGGGACCAGAGGCCCAGCGCGCAGGCCGCTGCCGTCGATGCCGCCTTCAGCCATCGGGGGACACGGGCAGGCAACAGTGGCCCCGGTGCTCCCACGCTTGCCGCTGCACTCCAGCCTGGCGCGACCGAAGCCTCAGCGGCACCCGCGGTGGTAGCCGCCGCACTGGCACGCCCCGGGCGCGGCGCCGCTGCCGGCGAGGGCGCGGCCTGACGCGGCCCGCGCGCGCGAGAGGCCGGAGGCGGCAGAGCTCCGGGCGCCCTCGAGCGGCGCCGCGGCTGCGGAGGGCGAGCCCTGCGCGCGGGACTGGCAGGCGCGGTGGTAGCCGCCGCACAGGCAGAGCCTGGAGCCGAGCGCGGCGTCGCTCGGCGAGCAACGGGCGCCGCCGGCCGCGGTCGCGGCGGGCGCAGGCTGCTGGGGCACCCGCGCCGCGGGGAAGCCCTGGCCGCCCAGCCTGCACGCGCGGTGGTAGCCTCCGCACCTGAGAGAACGTCGTGCCTCTTAAGGCTCATGTTTTCTGATGTGACAAGCTTTGCCCCAGGAACGCGTGAATTACATAATGGGTCCGTTCGGCGAGCGGACACACACACACACATGTGTACAGATCTATACATCTATCGAGATGTGTGTATATATATATATATATGCACACATGTTTCAAGCGATGCGGATATGCATGCACTCATCTACATGAATCACACGCTGTATAATAATGTATGTGCCCCAGCGCATGTGCAAAAAAAACCTGAACACACATGTACGTGTGTTTGTGTATGTGTGTGTACGTGTGATATGCCTCGGTACGTACATTAGGCGGCCTTTCGGTCCATCCCGCCACATTGCCTGTATCATGGGCAAGATATCTCTGTGAGGCTTCGTGAGGTACCTTGGGAAGCCTTCTCGGGTTCTTCGGGACACATGTGTTGTCCTCTTAGGGGCTTCTTGGATGCCATCTCTTGGGCTTTCTCGATGCAATCTTGATCCTCTTGAGCCATCTCGAGGACCTCCTGGGCCGTCTAAAGGCTCTCCTGTACATCTCTCGGGCCGTCTTGGAGCCATCTTGGAAACCGCAAGGCTGGTTTGAAGAATTTGCGGATGTTCAATGAGCCTTTGGGCTTCTGGGGTGCTCCTTGAGGCCTCTTGGGTGCGCCTTGAGGCCTCTTAAACTGTCTTGGCGCCATCTTGGAGATCTCTGGGCCTGGTCACGGAATTCGCAGATTTGTCATGACTCCGTGACGGATGGCTATCCCAATGAAATCATGGGAAGCTCTGGGTCGCTCAAACGCCCTCGGAAGCCCTCTTGAAAGCCTTTTTGGGCTGTCTGAGGGCGCTCTTCAAGCTCGGGCCGTCTGACTGAGGCTCTCCTGGGATACTTTGGGATTGTCTTGAGCCATCTCGGGGTCCTATGGGGAGTCCCTTGAGCCATCTCGAGGTCATCTTGGGTTGCCTTTGGGCCTCTGGGGTACGCCTTGAAACCTCCTGAACCGCCTTGGGGACATCTTGGAGGCCTCTGGGCCGAATCGCGGAATTTACAACGTTGTGCAGATTCCGTGACAGGCTTGAGAGGCCTCCAGGAACCCCCAAGCGAAGCGCAAACGTTGACCTCCAGAACCCAGCCCCCCCCATGAGACTCGGCACGACGTACCCTGAAAGAGCCCTTCGCCCGGACTTCTTCGGCAAGCTCCGCGAACAAAATTGCCTCCTGGAACGGCGAGCCAGGAGAAAGTCTGGACGGGCGAAAGGGGGGGATGGTACAGGGCAGGGTTGGAGATTTGCTGACATGAAGTGGGTGCTTAAAACTTCCCAGCTAGTGGTAGCACTGGTGTGGCGCTTTGTGGGCCCCGGAAACGGCAGGGCCGTTTTTTCACCGTTTCCACAAAAATGTCCCTTGAAAATGGAAACGGCAAAAAAACGGCGACCGGAACAACGGCTCCAGGATTGGAACCGGAGCCGGAACCGGTCAAAAAACGGCGACGGAACCGGTCAAAAAACGGCGTCGGAACTGGCCAAAAAACGGCAAAACGGGACAGGTAAAAAGACGGCCCTGTCGTTTCCAGGGCCCGCTAAGGTGTGGCGGCTGCTTTAATCAGATCACGAGCCCTCGGCCTGTGCTCGCTGCGCCTCTTTCAAAGGAGGCACAGCGATGGGGACGCGTGCTTGGACGCGGGGGTGGCACGGAGGGGCGCCAGGGGGGAGTGTTATGTAGGGCGTGTCCCCCTGCAGGGGGATTGTCGAAGAGAAAATAAAAATACCCCAAAAATACTCCAAGAAGGTATTTTCAGTTTCTCGTCGAAAAGAAAATGAAAATACCCCAAAAATAAAAAAAAAGTCCCCAGACTATTTTTGAAGGTATTTTTAGTTTCTCGTCGAAAATCCCGACGTAAGGGGAGTGGAGGGGGGCGGAAGGCGGGCGAGGAGGGCACGGAGTCGCGGCGGCCCGGCACAACTGAAGGGGCCCTGGGACACACACACACACACACACACACACACACACACACACACACACACACACACACACACACACACACACACACACACACACACACACACACACACACACGAATACACACAACTAAAAAGGATCCCCCATATTCTCCCATATTTTCGGGGTGTTTTGTCTTCCCCACACTTCCCATATTTCCCCGTATTTTCGGGGGAACTGGCGATTCATTGTGTCTGTGTTTTTTTCCCCCCTGAACAACGACCCCCTCCCCACACCACGAGATGCCGGGACCTCCTGGGCTTTCTGTGGGCCCCGGCAACGGCAGGGCCGTTCTTTTACCGTTTCCAAGAAAATATCCCTTGAAAATGGAAACGGCAAAAAAACGGCGACCGGAAACGGCAAAAAACGGGCTCCAAGATTGGAGCCGGAGCCCCTCCCCACACCACCAGAGGCCGCGACCTCCTGGGCTTTTCGTGGGCCCCGGCAGCGGCTTTGGGGGCTCCTCATCTCCCCCCCTCGCCCTGTCTTTTCCCTCGTCCCAGCGCGCCAGAACCAGGGGAGCGTGGCCCGCCGTGAGAAGTCCATGTGGAGGGGAGGGCGTATGGAAGGTTCCATTGTGAACTCCAATCTCCAGAGAAGGAGATTCGGGAAGGAGGCTCGGAAGCACCGTATCTCGCAGCAGTGTTGCGGTGCATCTTCTGCTTCACAGAGCGCGTTGCGCTCCGCTGCCTGCTTCGCAATCGCGGGGTGCTCCGCGTACTCGCTCTCTGTTGTGGATTTTCTGAAGAGTCGCCAATCGTGGGCTCTTCCGCCCACGCGTCCCGCAAGATGCACGGCTTAGTGGTGGTGGAAACGGCAGGGCCGTTTTGCCACCGTTTCCCAAAATATCCCTTGAAAATGGAAACAGCAAAAAAGACGGCGACCGGAAACGGCAAAAAACGGGCTCCAAGATTGGAGTCGGAACCCGAACCGGTCAAAAAACGGCGACGGAACCGGTAACAAAAACGGCGTCGGAACCGGCAAAACAACCGGCAAAACGGAACGGGTAAAAAAACGGCCCTGTCGTTTCCAGGGCCCACTAAGCTCCTGGACGCATGTTGCATCCAAGAGGAACCTGCGCAGATTCGTAAAAACCTTGACAGGGGCGAGGGCCTCCAAGATGGCCACAAGACGGGGCGAGCAACTTCAAGAGGTCTCCAAGGTGGGCGCCCAGACGGCCCAAGAGGGCTTCAAGATGACACAGTGGGAATTGGCAAATTATGTGAACGAGCCCTGAGGCTCCCAGCATGGCTCCAAGACGGCCCGAGAGGTCTACGGGAGAGACTTAAGACAGCCGGATAGGGCCTCAATATGGCTCAAGAGGATCCCAGAACTGCTCCGAGAAAGCCCAAGAGATGGCCTCCAAGAAGCCCCGTAGAGGCCAAACAGCTACTTGCCGAGGACCCCCGGGAGGCGTCCCACGGGACACCACGACACCTCACAGAAGCCTTTTCCCCATGGTCCAGGCAATGTGGCGGAGTGGGCAGAATGGCCACTGAAAATGTAAATTATGTTGTGTATTAAACACATACCTAGGTGCTGGTATGGAATGCACATGCGCATGATACGTGTTCACCTGTATATGAATTTGTACACAGCTATATACGAGTGCCCACAGATGAATATCCATGCGCGTGCACACGTCGAGAAGGTGCAAGTACGTTTACATAAGGATTGTTATACATGTACGTAGCTGTGCGACATGATGTGTCTGCTTCCATTGTGCATCCACTTGTATATACGCAGGCACGCACTTGCACACAACCAATGGACCTAACACGCTGCTGGGACGAAGCCTTAAGACCAAGAAATCTAGACCTTGAAGGACACGGCATCTCCTCACCTGCAGGTAGCCGGGCCGACGACGGTGGCGCTGTCGACGGCGCCCTTCGCTGGCGCCAGCGGCCCGGGCGCGGGGAGGTCGCGCGCACGGCCCCCGCTGGCCACTGGCCGGCAAGAGCGGTGGTATCCCCCGCACCTGCACGCCGCGCCGCCCACCACGGCCTCGCTCAGCGGCCCCTCCGCCCTCGGCAGGGAAAGGGCCGCAGCGGGGAGGCCTTCTGGCGCCGCGGGTAGCTGGGCCTGCTCGGCCAGCGCCGAATCGCGCAGCCGGCAGGCGCGGTGGAAGCCGCCGCACGCGCACGCGCCGCCGCCGAGGACGGACTCGCTGCGGCCCCCGTTCGGCACGGCGTGTCGGACAGCATGGTCGGACTCGTGGTCGGACTCGTGGTCGGACCCGTGGTCGGAGGAAGCTGCGGTCGACACTGTGGTCAGTCTGTCCATGTCCTTGCCCACCTTCGCGAGGAAGTCCTCAGCTGGGAGGTCCATATCTCGCATGCGGCAGGCCAAGTGGAACCCGCCACAGTTGCAGGCCGGCGCCGTGGAGAGTGCCATTGCCAAGGGGTTGAACGATTGCCTCGGAGGCACCTGCAGAGAATCTGCGTCACAAGTGCGCTCACCACAAACGGCTTGAGCTAACATGGCCAAGGAGTGGATCGGCCGCCATTGTGGACGAGGCGCACTGACTACCGCGTCCGCCGACCCTGCTGGCGTGTGCGAGAGGCTTCTCCTTCAAAGCCTACTCCTTCCACTCCCCGGACAACCCTTGGCGTCAGCGCAAGCCAAATCGAACCATGCTGCGATGCAATGAAAAAAAGCCCTTGCTTTTGACTGATTCCCCGCTGGAATGGGGGATGCGGGTGGGTGGGTGGAGGTGGTGCCAAGGGGTCCGAAGGGCGACTCTTGCCCAAGATGGCCAGAGTGGGCACCAGGTCGCAGCCAGAAGGAGCGTCCATTGCTGGAGGATCGTTTTAACTACTTGCGGGAGGAATGATCAATCGCGTCATGTTGCCCCTTCTGATGGTGCTCATTACTCTGAGGACGTTCTCAGTCATTGCACCCCAGATGTGGCAGCCAGGATGCAGGAACCCCTGGCAATGGCCTGGGCCTTAGCCATGCTCCAGGGCATTGCAAACAACTGTTTGGGGTCTTGAGTGAGTTCTAGACGCATTGATCTTGTCGTGAGCTTCGTGCTGCACATGGGAGAGGGTGTGCGCGGAACTGCTTGGGAACGTGGCAACTTACATATGACTCTAGCCCAAGCTCGCTTGTACGCTCAGCAAGCTGTTCGTCATAATGCGCGGTCTGCGTTCGCATGGTCACGAGAATCTGAATTGCCTACATGTTTACGCATGGTGAAGAGATTTCCTGCATCGTGATGGTAGGTCTTGCCTTGACGCATCACTTGGGACAGGACTGGAAACTGCAAGGTGCTTGCCCGGGGCCTTCCCGGCGAGCACCTCGCAATATTTCCAGCGAGGGGGCCTGGGGAGACTGGGCCCCAAACCTCTCCAGCCGCGCCCTGCCCCAAGACTTTCGAGAGGGATCCGGCCGAAGCGACGAACCTCCTAGAGCCCCAGCGCAAGAAACCGACTCCGAACACGTCGATGACGGTCGTCACCCCCGGGGGGGGGGCGGGTAAGGGAAACGCTTGGGGCGGGGTGGGAAACGTCGGGGCCGGGGGGTGCGCTGCGATCGCCATGGCATGCGCGCAAGCATCAGCATGTGGGGGGGGGGGTCCAGGCCGCCGCGCCAAGTACGATCCTTACCCTCAGTTGCCCAAGGAGGGAGGAAGGGAGGGTGGCCCAGGCGACGATCGTCGCACACCAATCAGGCGGCGCAGCCACATGCGGACGCGGTTGATGTTCCCGCACGGTTGGAAACAAGGAGGGAAGGAGGGACGAGGAAGAGTGAAGGGGCCCTTGGACACACAAATAAATAGGCACAGAGAATAGGATTCCACATACTTTCCAATACTTTCTGGGTTTTTGTTTTCCCCCCACCCCCACCCATACAACCCCGTGGTTTCTTGATGTGGTTTTGCTTTTGTGTTGGTTAATCTGCTCTTCTGGGCTTCTTGGGCCTGGGTGACAGGTGATGTGTTCCCCGGCTTTTCCCATATGTTACCCACTATTTTCCTATATTTCCCCATTATGCCTTGGGGAATCGACGATGAATTGTGCCTGTCTGCTTTTTCCCCTCCTGGCATTTGGACGCCCGAAATGGGTACCGAAAAAATGGGTACAATGCCCAACAGCAAATGTTGTCCCAAACCCACAGCGGCCGCTGTGGGGCGGGCCCCCTCCTGTCTCGAATGGACACGGGCCGCGGCGGCGCGGACAGCGAGTCCTGCTCAGAATGAACAGGAACTGCTGTTGGGCATTGTACCCATTCCTTCCGTTCTAAAACAGGGCTAGGATCGGGATAAATCGCTCCAGAGCGTTCCAGAGCGCTCTCAGAGCGTTCCGGAACGCTCTGGAGCGGCCGCGGCGCCCAATACATCCTCCAAACCCGCCGATTCTCAGAGTTTTCAAGTTATCCCGATCCGATTTTGGCCCGATCTTCGCGTCGTTTTACATACCCATTTCGGGCGTCCAGATTGGCAGAGAGCGGCCGGCCGCTCAGGCGCACGCCCCGTCGCACTGCCGGGCTCTGCCGCGCTGCTCCGCGGCCGGGGCTGCTGCACCCCCTTTTCGCGCTGCTCGCGGCCCGCCGTGCGGCCCCGCGCCGGGCTCATGGCGTCTGCCGCTTTGACGCTGGGCGAGGGCTGGCATAAAACGACGCGAAGATCGGGCCAAAATCGGATCGGGATAACTCGAAATCTCTGAGAATCGGCGGGTTTGGAGGATGTATTGGGCGCCGCGGCCGCTCCAGAGCGTTCCGGAACGCTCTGAGAGCGCTCCGGAACGCTCTGGAGCGATTTATCCCGATCCTAGCCCTGTTTTAAGGCAACTCCGTGGCTGCTGAAACGGTCCTCAGGGGAAGAAGAGAGCACATCCCCGGACTCAAACTCAGCGCGCAGTATAGATAGTACACGGGCTGCCTCCCGGGAGGAAACAAACCAATTCCCCGGAGCTCCGTTTGAGCAGCCACGGGTTCGCCAGCCTTCGCCCGGCTGCTGAGCCCTGCTGCATGCCAGTGGTGGTGTTCCGCTCCCCGCGCGGGGCTGCCCGCCCTCGCTGCGCTGCTCGGCGCCGTGCGGCTGCTGCCCGTGCCCGCGGAGCTGCTCCGCGGCGTGCCGCCGCCACTCGTCGTGCCGTCCTTGATGCTGCCGGTGCGCCCGCAGTGTTGGAGCTCGGCGTCGCACTGCTGGCGCCCGTCGTCAGCAGAAGAAGAAGAAGAAGAAGAAGAAGAAACATAGCCACATACACATACAACTTTGAAGCTCCCCGCGGAGTTCTCGCACGGGCGCTGGACCCCCCTCCCTCGCGCGAGGGGCGCGCCAGGGGGGCGCAGGAGGCGCCGTCAGGGGGGGGGGACCCAGCGCCGATCCAAGACTCCCGCGCAGAACTCCAGCCACGCATGTCTGAAAACGCAGTGGTTTCTTCTCAGAGCCGCGCTGCTCACGATAGAACGACGACATCTATGCAGATATCCACCACCCCTGTCAAGGCCCACCCGTAGAGGCCTCCTAGATGGGGTCCGCGTAGATGGGGTCGGAGGATCTCGCCGCATCGCCGATGCATCGGCGATACATCGCCGATGCATCGGCGATGCACTGGCGACGTCGGCGATACATCTGCGACGTCGGCGTGGAGAAAATTTGGCCCCACATCGAACCGCATCGCCGATACATCGCCGATGCATCGGCGACGCAGCGCGATCCTCCGACCCCATCTATACTCCGACCCCATCGAGGAGGCCTGGAACCCTGGGCCCATCAGCGGTGCAGGAGCATCCTCCCGGTCCAGGCCGAGGGTGCGCAGGCACCGCTCCCTGGCCCAGGGTGGGGCCTGACCAAGAACTGCCGGTATGAGATGTGCCGGAACCCCCTCCCGGGCAAGCAAGCGGCCCGGGCGAGGCGGGGGGAGGCGAGGAAAGGAGAAGGACAGCTCGTCGTCGCTTCCTCCTCCTTCCACTCCTCCTTCTTTCCGACGTGGACTCTTCTCCTCATCATCCTATTCCTCCTCCTGCTCCTCTTCATCATCCTCTTCCTCCGCCGACGACCTCGTTTGGCAAGTCGCCTGAGCCTCCCTTGGGGCTCTCTTACAGTCAACCCGTGGAATAAGGATGCGCGATAAGGACGCAAAAGCCTTGGACGCCCATTTCGCAGCTTTTCGAGCAGGGCGCGGCCAACGAGAGCGACCAAGGATGGGCCGAAGAGCAAGGATGCAAGGGTACACTTCGGAAGGTTGCCCATCCTTACTATGCGGGTTGACTGTATGACCCTCCGGGGGCTCTTTGGGACAATCTTCGGCGCTGCCTAGGCAATCTATGGGCGTTTCGGGGGCCTCTTGGACCGTCCTGGGGCACTCTTGGGGGCCGCTCGGGCCGTCGGAGCGGGCAGCCCGCGAAAAAGAGCATGCGATTTGGGCCCCCAGGGGCGATCTGGGGGCCTCTTGGAACCGTCTTGGCGCATCTCTAAGGTTCTTGGGCGACCTGAAGCCATCTTGGACCGTCTCGGGGCTCTCTTGGACCATCTTGGCGGCCTCCAGGGTTGCCTGGAAGCCATCTGGGGACCATCTTGGGGCGGTCCGAGGAGGCCCCAGGGGCCCCGGGGCAGCCATGGAATACCAGGGTCCCTGGGCGTCGCCAGGTATATATGTATCCATATACATACACATACACATACACATATACCTACATATCTACAGACCTACACACCCACATATATACATACCCACATACCTAAATATCGAAACACCTACCTACCTGCCTACCTACATACATTAATCAATCCACCAATACATACATCCATACATACACACAACCATACATCCATACACACAAACATACATACATGTATGCATACATACACACGCAGGCAGACATGCCGACTTGCATACATACATACATGCATCCATGCCTGCCGGTCTGTCAGCATGCATACATGCGTACAAGCACATACATGCAGTCAATCATACATACACATACATACACATACATACATACATACATACATGCATGCACGCACACATACATACATACAGACAGACATACACATACACATACACATACACACATACACACATACACACATACATGCATGCATGCATGCATACCTATACACATGCATAGACGTATACATGTACACGTACATGCATCCATGCATACATGCATACATGCAGACATTCATACAGTCATACATACATCACGCAGTGTACATACACATGTTCCTTTATATATGTATATAAGTACACACCTGTCGTTTTATACATCTATATTGACCCCCCCAAGCGCGCATTCGTCTTACTTTCTTGTGACGGTAATGTTCTCTCCTATCCCTTTTTGTTTCCCTTCTCCTCCTCATGTTATGCGTCCTCCTCCTCCTCTTTCGCATGTTCCTCTTCCTGTTACCGCCCCTCTTGCTGCTGCGGCCAATCCTCCTCCTCCTCCTCTGTCCGATGAGGCAGTGCGGGCTGGGGGGGGGGAGGCGCATGTAGCTATATATGCATCCATATACCTATAAGCCTGTATACCACACACACATATAGATAGATAATGATATATGAGGTATAGATATGTATATGTGTGTATGTGTGTACGTATGTGTGTGCGCATGTTTGTATGTGTGTGTGTGTGTGTGTGTGTGCGCGTATGCATGTGTGTGTGTATGTGGATGCATGCGTCGACCTCGTCGCCCTCTCGCGGGCGGATGCCATAGCAGCCGCACCGCCCCCGCCGTGCTGCGGGCGCCGTGCCGCTGCCGTCCTCTGCGACCCCACGGCGCGCGGGCGCACCGGCGCCCGGCGGGCGGCGCGGCCCGCGCCCGCGCCCGCGCGGGCGCGGCACGCCCTCGTCGGGCCCGCGCTCATCACGCCGCTCACCCTTCAGAAGGGAAGCAAAACCACACAGACACACTCCATCGTCGATCCCCAAGAGGATCTGCGAAAGCATGGGAAGTAGGGGGGGGAAGACGAAAACCCAGAAAATATGGGTAAAGATGGGGAATCTCATTACTTGTGTCTATGTATTTGTGCGTTCCAGGGCCCCTCCAACCCTGGCCATCCGCTCCGCGCGCTTCTGCTGCAGGCGGTCGAGCTCCTCCCCGGGAGGCCGCGGACCGAGGCTGCGCACCGAGGTCCGAGGAGCGCGTCACGACCTCATCGGGTCCTCGCTCATCACGCCGCTCACCCTGGCCATCCACCCCGCGCGCTTCTGCTTCAGGCGGTCGAGCTCCTTCCTGGGAGGCCGCGGACCGAGGCTGTGCACCGAGGTCCGAGGAGCGCATCACGCCCTCATCGGGTCCTCGCTCATCACGCGACCATCAACCCTGGCCATCAGCCCCGGAGCTTTCTGCTTCAGGCGGTCGAGCTCCTTCCTTGGAGGTCGAGGACTTTCATAGAGGTCCGAGGATCAAGGATCGAGACTCGGCGATTGAGTGTGTCGTGTCTGGCTCTTATCTGGGGCCTCCAGAGGCCTCTGGAAGCCTCCACGGGTCTCCTGATACCTCTGCAAATCTTTAAGCGACCATCAAGGATCTGGGAATACCTCTGGACACCTCGGGAATCTTCCGCGAGAAGATGGGGTCGGAAAATCACGCCGCATCGCCGACGCATCGCTGACGCACAGGCGATAACGGTGTGTGTGTGTGAGTGTGTGTATATAAATCTATGTATGTACATATATGCATTCGCGCGCTGAATCGCGCCGCATAGACGATGCATCAGCCATGCGGCGCGATTCCCCGACCCCATCTACTCCAACCCCATTCGGGCGGCCCAGATTCCTCTCTCTGTCCGGGATGGCGAGGTAGTCCTCGTGCAACTCGATGGAAATTAGCAGCTTCTGCTTCCTCCGGGTGTATACCATCCGTCGCTCCTTCCACTCCTGCTGCGACGCGTCATTCATGGCTTGCAACTCTGGGGCAGAAGGCCACCGGGACGGTGTGTCCTTCCAAACGCTGGCAATGAAGTCGGGCAACCACCTGTCGTTGTCCAACTTTTCTCTGGCCTGTAGAGGAGCAGGAGGAAGGAGGGCGAGCAAGGAAGAGCAAGGAGGAACACGGATCCCTGAATAATCCAAACCGACAGTGTAACAGATCGAACGCTGATCTACGAAAACGACGGGAAGCACATGCTGTGTGCAGGCAGAACGCAGACGCACAGGGCTATCGAGCATATACGGTAAACAAGTGTGATGTCATGAAACAAATAAGAAGAACTTGTTACGGGTAGCAGCGTGCCGAACACTCACCAGTGCCAACGGCGGATCATCTTACATGATCAAGGATGGCCCACAGACCAGCGTATTCCAGCGAGTGCACACGAGGGATTCGCTGAGAGCCCTCGTCGACGGCCTGATCGGCCCTGACAGCTCACCTGCAGGGTGCCAAGGCTCCAAGAGTCTCCCAGCAGCCAGCCTGCCAGACCCCTGAGAGGCCGAAATCACTAAGCAATCCTCGCGGACCTTCGAACGTTTCTGTCTACGTCGTTGTCCTCTTCGACATAATCAGCCAACAAACCTGTGGCGATAGGGACGGAAGACGGCTTTAGTGGTCAACGCTATCTGGTAGTCGGGGGCAACGATAGGGGTGTGGGATAGCCATATGGGGGGATACATCGACCTCGAATGGCCGATACATCGCCCATCGTCGACACATCGTCGATGCAGACGAACCCATGTATCTTCTGTACGTCGTCGATACGTCATCCTGATATCAAAGATGCATTGTCGATGCATCGCCGATGTATCAACCATTCGAGGCCGATGCACCCCCCTATTCTGCGGCCAGCCAGGGGGGGAATGAGACGGAGCGGGCCTTCTCACATGGCTCGGAAGTCCCCCAGCCTTCTGAGAAATGTTCTAAGCCTTCCCCGAAGACACAGAAAACCTCTCAGAAACTGGAGGGCTTCTGAAACGCCCCGCCGCCTTCTGAAAGGGTCTTCTCCTTCTCGCTTCCCCCCCCCTCGCTCGCCGCCGACCTGTGCCCATTCCCCCCTTCTCATTGCCCCCGAGGTAAACTGGCTGCCCAGGGCAGCACCGAAGGCGAGCCGCTTGGGCCGACTGGGAGTGCGATCCTGTATCTGGCGGGCGCGTCGGACATCCAAACCCAACTGGTGGCTTGCTTGCTTCGCAACCGTAAAGGCACAAGGCGGCATCCTCAAGACTCGGGCACGCGCAAGGGTGACCTAAGACGAAGCCAGGCCGAGGATAAACTCGGGTGAAGATAAATCCAAAATTTCAAAGGTTCGGCGGATCTGGGGGATGTATCGGGCGCCGCGGCCTTCTCAGCGTTCCGGAACGCTCTGGGAGCGTCCGGAAACGCTCTGAAACGGATTTATCCTCGTCCCAGCTCCACCCGATGACCCAAGGAAAGAGTGACCTTTGGTGCGCGATTTTTTGGGGTCGTGGGGATGCCAGACCGAGCGCGCAAGTCGCTGCTGTCGCGTCGCGTTCGGTCATCTGGGGAGCCCAGTGTGCCCGCACCAAAGGTCACTCTGGCGTAAGGTCACTCTTACGTGAAGCCGAAAGCCCTGCAACGGGTTCGTGTCGTGTCGCCCTCAACGCTGGTTCCTCAAACTGCGGGGATTGTTGGAGGCCTGGAAATTGGCACCAACACCAGCACAGGGGTTTGCCTCCACAGGGAGATGATGATCTTAGATTTCGGTGTTGGTGGTAATATTTCGGTCACCTTGGAAGCCAGAATGTTACCACCATCACCGAGATCGGGATCGCCTTCCCTTGGTGGAGGCACACCGCCGATCTTGGTGTTGGTGTCAATCTCTAGGACTCCGAGATTGTTCCCACTTGAACAATCGGCCGTTTCCGGAACGTCAGATCGTTCAACATCGACCGGTTCTGGGCCGCCGCCGGCGTCAAACATTGAATGCCAGCGGCGGGGTCGCCGCCGGTCGACACGACGCGAACCTACCGTACCGACGCTGCTCTGGCAATCGGAGACGCTTTTCCTCCTTCGCCGAAGAGGCCTCCGGGACGGCTCCGAGCATAGCCTCTATACGACCCAATCTCCGCCACCGTGCTCTCGGACACGAGTTGGAGTGTCCTAAGGTCTCGTGCTCGATCCCCTGAGCCTCAATCCTCACACCTGCGGAGTTTTTTAAGTGGCCCAGACCCCAAATTCTCAAATCTCCTGGGGCTTAGCGCTGTCCCCCTGGGCTCCCCCGAGCGGTAGAGCATGATTTTTGTTCCGGCCAAGAGGGACCAAGACTTGCCAAGAGATCTCCAAGATCCCGCCCAAACGGTCCAAGGGTGCTCCGAATCGCTACACGATCGGTCCAAAACATTCAAGGTGGCTCCAAGACTGCCCAAGAAGGCCTCGAGACGCCCCAGGAAGACTCCAAGAGCCTTCCCAAGAGGGACCCGAGAGGCCCAAATCATTTGCTTCCTTCAGGCGTTCCAATATCTGTTCTGGGTTCTCGACTTTTCGAACTTCAGACGCTCCAAGACGTCCCAAGAGGCCACAAAGACCGCCCCAAGATGACCCACGAGGCCCCCAACAGGGACGTAAGACGGCCCAAAAGGCGCACAAGACGGCCCAATAGAGCACTAAAACGTTCCCAAAATGGGCTCAAGAGTGGGAGCCCGAACCGACAATTCGAGCCTTCCGTCCCAAGATGCCCCTAGGAGGCCCCAAGAGACCCCCTAAAAGGCCCCTCAAAGCACCCAAAAGTCCCCAAAAACGCCCAAAGAGACTCCAAAACGGCCCCGTAAGAGGCCTCTAACCTGCCTCCACGAGGCCCCCGAGAAACCTCCCGCGACATCCCAACGAACATCCTAGAGCCCTACAGCCAACAACCCAGGCACGATGGCGGGATGGGCCGAATACCATTCGATCCGCCGCCCCCGGTTGATCTGTCCATCAAAGAGGTGTCTGCGTTCTGAGGTTCAAAGGGCTTTGGTCTTGCATCATTTGTTCTTAACTACCCTGAAGTCCCTTAAGTCGGGCGTGTCCCCCTACAGGGGGATTTTGGCCGACAAATGAAAAACACTCAAGAGATACGCCCAAATGGGCAAAACTACTAACACGAATCGTCCCCCGACTATTTTTGGACTATGCTTTTGGACTACTGACAAAAATCGTCCCCCGACTATGTTGGGGCTCCGGTCCCTTGCGCCGGCCACCCGGAAGACTTGCCCAAACCCGGTTGCCAAGGGTCTTCCTGCTCCGGATGGCTCCAAACTGGCCCAAAGCTGGCTTCCGGCGCGGCCCTCACGTGCGCCCAGGACGGTCCGAGATGGCCGCCGAAACGATCCAAGAGGCCGAAGATACCTCCGAACTCGCCGAAGAAGCCTCCAAGAAGGCCCAAGAGGCCCCCAAGAAACCTCCAAGACGGCCCAAGAGGCAATAATCATTGATTTTTGATAGGCTTTGGTAAGCTCGTGGCATTTGCTTCTTTTCGGCCTTCCGACTGCCCACGACGGTCCAAGAGGCTTCCAAAATCGCACCCGAAACGCCAGGATGGCCGAAAATGGCCCCAGGACGACCCAAGAAATCCCTCAAAAAACCCCAACCAAATCTCCAATACGGCCAAAATGGCCGCAAAGGGCCCCAAGACGGTGCAGAGAGGCCCCCAAGACGGAGACAGCTCCCGACGGCGTCAGACGGCCCAGGAACGCCGTGGGACGGTCAAAGAGGCCCCGAACAAACCCCAAAAGGCCCCGCCGAAGGAGACCCACAAGAGGCATCCAAGAGGCTCCCAGGAAACCCCCAAGAGACTCCAAGAGTACCCCGAGAGGTTCCCAAGAGGTCTCCTCCCCCTCCTCCTCCTCCTCTTCCTCCTCCTCCTCCTCCTCCTCCTCTTCCTCTTCCTCCTCCTCCTCCTCCTCCTCCGCCTCTTCTTTCTGCTTCTCCTGATAATCCCTGTTTTCCTCACGTCTTCCCCACGAAGGCTGGGGGAACACCTGGTCCGATACCTTGGCCAAGCTCTAGCCCAACTTTCGGCCACATATTGGAAGCGGGAAATTCACACTGCGGCACGTCCGAATTGCCGAGCCATATCCTGTGCTCGCGCCATGAATCCTGTGAGGAGCATGTGTGTATATCTATATATAACTCATTGAAAACATGTCCCAAGGTCGCCGCGACACGATGTAACACGACCCTGAGTACTCGAGCAAATGCGTCGCGGTGTGAACTGGCAAGAAGGACAGGGCCCCCCCGCCCCCCGACCGGGCCCTGGCCCCGCATCACCAACGCATCTCCGGGACTTTACTAAGGCAGACCGTGGACTTTACTACAGCGAGGAAGCGGCTTAACCAAAGCGAGGAAGCGGCTTGACTGAAGCGAAGGGTCGGCGTCAGTAGAGGCGCGCCGCTCGCTGCATTCAGCAAAAACGGCGTTTTACGAAAACGAAACAGAAAGCTTCAGCACGGCGGAGGGGCGGCTGGGGTGAAACTGCGCGCAGAAACTTCGCTTCTCCCACAAGATCTGGCGCGGGACTCCTGGAGTAGGGGGAAAACAAACCTGCCTCGCTCTTGACCACCCTCGCTTCCAAGAGATACCAAACGATGCCAACTTGCAGCCTGTACTGGTCAGGCCGCTTGACGAGGAGGCGCGTGGTATGGCTTGGTTTTGCCTGGAAGCGAAAGCGGGGTGAGTAATTCACGCTCTGATGGAGCGAGGGCGGGGCGCAAGATCGCCCTTGGGCTGGGGCCTCCTCGCCGCCGTCGCCGCGGTGTTCGTCGTCGCCGCCGCCGCCGTTGCCGCCGTCGTCGTCGCCGCCGTCGGCGCAGACGCAACGCCGTCGGCGCCGTGGCCGTCGTCGTCGCCGCGACGCCCGCGCATCCACGTTATTATTCAAGGGGCCCAAGGACACACAAATAAATACACACAAATAAAATGATACCCCATATTTTCCTATATTTTCTGGGTGTTTGTCTTCCCGCCCAATTCCTATGTTTTCCTATATTTTTGGGGGAATCGACGATGAATTGTGTCTGTGTGGTTTTTCCCCTCCTTAATTATCAGCGGCGGGTCGCGCACGACCGCGCGCGACACTGCGCTCGCACTTCCGCTCGTCCGACGGGGGCCCAGGCGGATATGGTGGTATTTTGTCCACCCACAAGTCGTTTACAGTAATAGTGGGATGAATACGCCTCTGGCCACATAGGCGTTTCCAATAAGGCAGGGGGCGGCAGTGATTCGCTATAGGCGTCCTCGATAACGAGGCTTCCTGGATGAAGTGCGAGTAGACGGGGTCGGAGGATCGCACCGCCTCGCCGATGCATCGGCGACACCGACGATGGATGCATAGACGCCGTCGGCGTAAAGACCATCGGGCTCCACATCAAGACACATCGGCGATGCATCGGCGATGCAATGCGATCATCCGACCCCATCTTCTCGGACCCTATCTGGGAGCCTAGGGAATACCCTCAGGGCAGCCCAGAGGCGGCCCTTGCCAAAGCTAGTCCTCAAAGCCAACCCATGACTGACCAAAGACTTCTCCAGACGGCCGGTCAGGAGCAAGCCTTCCGCCAGACGGTCTCCAAGACAGCCTCAAGGCACCCCGACACCTCCCAACGTCACGGCCCAAGGCATTCCCTGGACGGCCGGGGAGGTGTGAGAGGGAGGGCGAGGGGAACGCGAAGTAGTAAGGAGCCGATTGGGTGGTTGAAAAGAGCACCCCCCCACTATACCAGGCTCCCAGAGGGCGTGGGATGGTGCTCGCGTTGGTTCCCAGGCTCGCAATTAACTTCGGGGAAGATCGCACGTGTTGCCCCCCAGGCCTCGTGCGCCATCTCGCCCATGAACCGCCAAAAAATCTTGATCTTCTCCTGAGGTGCGCGCGGCGAATTCTCGTCCTGCACCGGCTGCACGTAGAAAAAAGGAGGTGACACAGGAAACGGAACCGATGAGGCAACCTATGGAGAAGAAGAGGAACGGAGCAACAAAAAAAGACGCATGCTCTCAGCATCGCACGTGCATACATACGATTGCACCACATAGGTTGCACAACGTATGTTGAACAAGTTATATATATATATAGCACAGCATAGATTGCATCACAAACAATGTACCACATACATTCTCCTTTCTAATAAAAAGAATAGACTCTCCCCCCCCCGGCGTTATCGCTACCCCTTTCGGGTATGTAAATCACATACGATTCTGACCACATGCCCATCCTAAATATGAAATCGCAATGTCCCAGGCCAGCCGGGTTCCCCCCCCGAGGTTCCCTTGAAAAACACTTTATGGTGACATGTTTGTTCTAACATAACACTTTTTCACGGATCCCTTGCAACAGATGGGACGAAGTGCGCACGCGCGCGTCGTCGCGCGCGCATGCCGAACTCCTTCAAACACCTTCGGTGCCGGAAGGATTTCGCAATCGAGTTTCGAAAAAAAACATACGTAAACACAGGGGTTCATAACACTGATTTGCTAAAAAAACTTACGCGCGAGCTCTTGCGAAATCTTCACAAAACCATTGGTTCTTCCCTCTTTTTCACAACATGCTACCAAACGGGCGTCGCGTGCGCATGTCGAAATCTGTCGAACGCCCTTGCGCGTGTGCCGTCGCGAGAATCCCCTGCAGAAAATGGGACGCAGTGCAGACGCGCGCGTCGTCGCGCGCGTACGCCGAACTCCTTCAAAACACATCGGTTTCGGAAGGATTTTAAAATCGCGCGTCCCAAAAACCTACAAAAACACAAGGTTTCGCAACACGGATTTTCAACAAAAGCGTGCGCGCGCGCTCTTGCGGCGTCGTCGTCATCGTCGTCGTCGCCGTCCTCCCTCCTCCCGCGTCGTCGTCGTCGTCGCCTACGTCGTCCTTTCCTCGTGTTCGTCGTCGTCGTCCTGTTTGGCGTCGTGGTCGTTTCCGTCGTCGTTGTCGCCGTGGTCGTCCTTCCTCCTCCTCCCTCGTCGTCGTCGTCGTCGTCCGTCGTCGGCGTTTCGTCGTCGTCCCTCCTGTTTCGTCGCCGTCGTCGTCGTCGTTGTCGTCGTCGTCTCGTCGTCGTCTCGTCGTCGTCTTCCCTCCTCCCTCGTCGTTGTCGTCGTCGGCGTCGCCGTCCTTCCTCCTTCTTCGTCGTTCGCCTCGTCGCCGTCGTCCCTCCTCCCTCGTTGTCGTTGTCGTCGTTGCCGCCGTCGTCGTCCTCCCTTTTCCCTCGTCGTCGTCTTCGTTGGTGACGTCGTCGGCCTCGTCATCGTCGTCGTCGTCGGCGTCGTCGTCTTCGTCGTCGACGTCGGCGTCGTCGTCGTCGTCGCCGCTGTCGTCGTCGTTGTCGTCGTCGTCGGCCGTCTTGCTTCTCCAGCCTTCTTGGGGCGCACTTGAGACGCCCCCGAAGGCTCCAAGACGACCCATGGAGCGATATTTGTGCTCGGTCCCGCATGCGTTTTGCTAACCAATTTGCGGGTGGGTGGGTGGGATGATTGCGCGAGCAATCGTGTTGAATACCTCGAGTTCGGCAAGATTGATTGCACCACGTAGATTGCATCACGCACATGGCACCACATAGGTCGCACTACGTATATTGCACATACTGCATCGTGCATCACATTGACAGCATCAATATGTTGGCCCACGCGACATATTGCTAGAATTACGCTGTTTGGGGGCCGACGCCCGCGAGCGTACATGTATCTATGTATGTACGTACGTATGTACGTACGTATGTATGTATAAGATATATACAATATATATATATATATATATATATGTATATATATATATATATATGTTCCCTTGTTCGCGAGTCCGCCCTTCTGGCACAAAGCGATCGCGTAATGCGGTCCCCCGAAACCCATTAGAAACTATGAGGGCGTAGGTCAGTAGTTGCTGCTCTGGGGCGAAGGTAAGATGAGGACGACGAGGAAAAGACAGAGGAGGGAAGGGAGGAATGGAGAAGGACAAGCTGGGTGAGCTCGCGCTATATCTGGCATCCGTTCTCATTGCGTTAATTTGTTCTGTGCCCGCGGGTGTGCGACATAAACGACCTGGAACTCCCAAAAAGACTTCCCCATCGTATTCTACGCCGTCGGAAAATGAAACAGCGCACATAGGAAGAAACGGGGGAGGAGGGGGAGGAGGAGGAAATGGAGGAGGAGGAGGGGGAGGCCAAGGACAATAACATCCGCATGAGGGGGTGCAACGTCAAAACACCTACGCTGGTGGCTTGCGCACTTCTGCCAAAATCCCCTGCGATCGATTGTGCAACAGCCCTGCTTTCTCGCTAGGGCCGGCAGGGGGCATGCCACGTTGCTCAAGGACTAAGCTCCGAAGTGGCCCTGTAAGAAAAGCATGCTACCCTATGTTCACGAGTTCTTTCGGGTCAGTGCGGGGGGAGCGGCTGCCGGCCCTTCCGCGCGCCCCTGGGGAGGGGGCGCGCGGGCTTTGCAGCGCGCCCAAGCCAGGGGGGAGGAGACGACGACGCGACCGCCCAAAAGGAGAAGAAGGGGGCGGGTCGGGAGACCCGTGCCCCCAAACTGTTGCTGGGGGGGCTGCTGACTCCACTGCTTTAGTTATATGCGCCCCTCTCCCGCTCGGCCCACTTCTCGCTTAGGCCGAGAGTTGCCCCATGCACTGTCGCATCTGTACTCGGACACCTTGTTGTAGTATCCCGCCGATCCTCCTGTGGGGTAGAACATGGTGGTTGTTACGGTATATAGTTGGTGGGGCAATCGAAGAAGCACTCTGGTGGACTTCGTGATGATCACTTTCTCCTTTGACACCTTGCAGTAACGTGCTTGTCAGCACTCTTAAAACATACTTCCCATTGCGATTACAGTGTGGGCACTCCGTGATGCCCATCCTGTATGCCCCGAGTTGCACTCCGAGGGTACCTCGCCGCTGCATATCTTGGCTGCCTGTGGGCTCGCCCAGCCTACCCAAAGTAGCACTCCGAGAAAACCTCGCGAATGTTTTTTTCTATCCAGCGGGTGCAGTCGCTGGTGGCAGCTGGAGAAGCTGGTCGCAGTCGTCTCCTCCGACTTGGGGTAGTCGAAATTTACCAAAAAGCTCTTGGCGCCATCCGGCAAGGTCTGCGTGCTCTCTCGTAACTTCTGGCGCTCTTTGAGCCTCTTCACTTCCCCTGGGTCGAGATTGTCCTCGTTGCTCAGCTCCTTCAAGGCGACCTCCATGACTTTGTGGAGGCTCTCTTCATCGTTGCCCAATGTCTTCAGCGCAAGCTCGCACCAGCTCTGCAAAGTGAAGGCCCCCCTCCCTGCCCCCCCCCCCCCCGCGCGCCCGCAGGGCACCATGCGATGGGGTCGCAACATTTGCCCGTGTGCATGGTCGGGAAGGACGCGGGGATCAGCTCGGACATCTCCTCTGGGCTCATCTTCTGGGTGGCGTCGAAGAAGTGGTAGTGGCGCTCCATGATGGCCACGTCCAGCTGCTGCGGCAGCCTTTCTGCTACGAGAGCTTCACATGTACTTCCCACCTTGAGCTCCACCACCATCGAGGGCCCACTCTTGTTCGGGAAGAAATTCGGTCCGCGCCCGACATTTGGCCACCCCTCGCAGTCGCCGCCGAACGTTTCCACCATCTTGCCCACCCACTCTTTCATTAAAAACATATTATGGGTGGCTCTCCTGCGCCTTGACAAGCTGTAACCGGCCCAGTTTGCGCCGGAACTGCCACTCGCCCACACTCGAATTGGGGCTGGGGCCTCTCCGCCGCAACCTGTTTGGGAAGGCGTGCCCGCGCGAGCGTGCTCCGCCCCTCATTCTGGCCCAACCTGCGCCGTTCCTGGATGCGTTGAACAGCTGCATGTTGTCGCTCCACTTGTCCGCGAAGTCCAGCGACTTGAGAGGCGCCGACTGTTTTTCCTTCCATGTTCTTCGCCGTCTTGTAGTCGCCCATCTCGTTCAGCTCGTTCTCTTTTCCTCCAACTCTTGTTTTGCTGCCTTTAGCGCGTCTTCGTCATTGATGTCCATGGCCATGTACTTGTTGAGCAGGGTGTCGCATTCTTCTGCGCAGCGTTGAGCCTATTTCATGCTTTCTCTGCTAAAGGCTGCGAAAATGCCTCCATGCATTCGGATGCCCTCCAGCAACTTCTCCGCAATCCCCTGTGGCTTCTCTATGGCCAACTTGTTTCTTACTCCGCCAAACTGTTTCATTGGGCCTTCTTCTTCAACCAAGAATGCTTGTGCTGCAGTGATCTGTCCAAAAGCCCGGGCTGCCCGCGCGGCTCCTCTTCTCTCTTCTGTTCTGGGCAAACCTGCTCTCTCGACATGCGCTTGTCTCCTCCGTCCAGCGTCTGTTCTCCATCGCTCCATTATTCCAGCTCCTCCTGCCTCGGCTCCAGCTCGCAGTCGATGCGCGCTCGCTTCCATTCACTGTCTTTGCCTCCTTGATCTGTTTCATGACATGGTTCATTTCTTGCGGGCCCCCCGTGGCTCTCGATCCTCTCGCAGTGCTGAGGCGCCGCGTTGCAGCGCCCGCAGGGCCATGGCTGGCCGCTGCCCGCGAAGGCCATGGATGCCCCCCCCCCCGGGCGCTCCGGGAAACCCCGCCAGTGCGCAGCGCTGCGCGCCTAGGCCAAAGTTGAGCCAGATCAGCTGTGGGACCCAAATATGATCGATGGAGATGGTCGAATGTTCCCATCTGCCCTGTTAGTCGCGCAGTACCCTGTACGCAGGCCCCATATCCCCCCACCGACCGCGACCCGACCTTGCATTGTGCGTATGCTGTGAAGTATGCATAGCACAGCGCCCACCATCTCTCCGAATCTGCAACGGAAGGAGGGAAAAATAAATATTCGCATCGTGTCGTCATGGTAGATGGCGTCGTTTACTGACTGGGACAGGTGGGCTGGTTGTTGCCAGGGAGGCCATTCCCCATGGCAGCTCTTTGCATCTCCGCTCC